TCCACAATTACATGCTGACTGATTGCTGCATCTAGCCTGCTTAAGGCAGGGGGAAAAGTCCCACAGATCAGGTTGGAGTTGAAGTGATCAAATGCCCTTTTTCTATTCATTAGCAGTCGGTGTAATTTGGTGACTTGCTCTGTGTCCTGTAGTTCAAGTAAAGGTTGTAATCTTTCTTTATGGCACTCATTACAACACACAGGGCATAATGTCACTTGGAGAATTGTTCCAGGAAATTGGAGTATGGGGACATTTCTCAGCTTAGTTTGAACAAGTGCCTGTGACTTCAGTGTGGTTCATATAAGCAGCTTATCCTATTGGAAGGAATACAACTCGAATGCTGTTTAAAAAGGATTATTAAATTACCTGTGGTTAAAGTACAAGTTTCAGATGGGGGTGGTTGGTTTTCTTGGACAAGACGATCAAATCCTTGTCTGAATTCCTTTGAAAAATAAATTGTCTTTTTACAGCGGTACATGGAGTTACATTAACTGTTCTTTGTGAACAATTTAAGACTCATCATTTGAACCTTCAAGCACATGAATAAGCAAATAGCAAAACAGTAAAAAATATTTTCGTGTGTATCAGAAAGCATTCTAGTTGCGCTGTCTGGATAGCACAATTTGAGGGACAAATGAAGGGGCAAAGAGATTTCATGCATTCCAGTGATGTATCTGTGGTTGTCCATGGTTGTCCATGGTCTGGTATACTAATTACCCTCCTTTTCTTTGCCACTCTGTTCTCCAGTTGCATCTATTTTCAAGGAGTTTAGCTACTGACTCTTTGGCATGCTCCATTCATTATTTCAGTTTTGTTTCTAATGCTGCAGTCCTTTGAATTTTGGCACTCTTGTGTTTTATCCCAGATCTTGTTACTTGTGTTGATTTTTCTAGGCCCTGTATAATATTCTTGCTTTTCTGTCTGCAAACTGCAACTTCAGTTTTTCGTGCACTTGCTGTAGAGGCTGTCCTTAAGTTTGACCTCCACAAAATCGGTGTTTCAGTAGTCATGGTTTAGAGGCATTCATAGATGCATAGATGTGTCCCCTGCGTATTGTCTTTATGCATAGGGGTCCATTTTCACTTTTAGTTTTCTTCGGAAGCCTCTCTATTCTCCAGAGCCAAAACCCAGGAACTTTGCAGAAAGCTCTTCTCTTTCGGGAGAAACTAGTGGAAATCACTAATATGGAGATGGTGAACCAAGAATCACCTTACGTGAAAGTTGAAGTTTACTTGACTAATCATTGTGGCAGTTGCAGTGCTAGATGATATTTTAGGGTTACCATTTCTGGAGAAAATGGTTGCACCTCTGATCTTTTTACAGCTATGGTACTGTTTAGAATCGTCCTTCTCTAAGAAAAACAACAGTGGGTGGTGTACGTTTGCAACTAAACTTCATGATTAAAGTGGATTTTCTTTTACTTTAGCTTTAGTAGGAATAGGAAGAATGTTTGTCTCCTTTAATAGGTATGTGCATCGTTCAAGCATCACGAAAGTTGAGGCTTCCAGACTAGAGGACTGGTGTTCTGTCTCCCACTGAGACCAGTTTTCTAATGTGATTGTGGAAGTGTGTGGCTGGATTAAGAAGGGCAAAGGGGGAAGGGTAGTAAAATTATTTGGAGAATAAGGGTCATAAGATGAGAACTCCTCTTTAGGAAGATGACTAAAGAAATATAAGATAGGACTAAGTTAAACCATGTTCAGAATTTGTTGCTTTATTGCACATCATGCATGCAGACTGTTCTGGGTCTCACTTGTCTCTTTAGTGTTATTACATAACAAACTCATGCTGTAACTTGGGTGCTTGCACTGCTATAGGTTAATCTGATTTGCATACAGAGTTATATGCTTAACTAAAGGTGTCATTCCAACTTAATCAGTATAGTGCACAAACCACTTCACAAAAGAATGAAGAACGTACTAGTGATTTAGGTAGACACTGATGCATGAAAGATGTTTCCGTAGATAGGGACTCAAAAACAGGTCTAGAATATATTTTTAGTAGGCAGGAGGCATGGCTTGCTTATGTCAGCCTCTGTGTGTCCCATCTTTTAAAATTGATTTTTTTTTTTTTTTTTTATAACTAAGACTCTTTAAATTCTTCAGGTTTTAGCCACACAAGAGTATCAGGGGAGAAGTAGCAGGTAGCCTCTGATTCATAAAAAAAAATAAATCACAAATTGCTCATATTAAACTCAAATTTTTCTGAAAAAGGATTGAAATTCTGGAAAAACTGAAGACTTGGCATATTCATGCTATCCACAGCTAAACTATGCTTTCCCTTCAGATGCAGTGAGGATTTTGAAAACCTGGCCTATTCTCCTACAGGTTTAGGCTGGCGTTCTGGTGGAAGTACAGTTAGCTGGAGTGTTGCAAGGAAGGCAGCTGCAGTCCGTTACTGCAGTTTTCAGAAGGTGACTACTTTATGCTATGGGCTGTGAATAATTTCCTAAGTAGAAGCCATGTGACCACATTGTGGTTATGCTTCTGTCTGGTTGTATTCACATCTACGGTGGGTAGCTCACACTGTTGAAGAATCATGTGTCAACATCTCACCTACAAGGCTTAATTTAGAATAGCAACACCTTTCAGTTTACCTTCTGGGAAGGAATAAGACAACTTGATTTTAAGTGGAGAGTGGATTTGTTAATTTTTGAAGTGTGCTGGCAGTTCTGTATGAGTTGCTAGAACTGCGTACGACCTGTCTGTACATATTTTTACTTGTCGTTTACATGCCAACCTACTGAAAGGGCTGAACAGCTTACAAAGCACAACTCTGAATATTGTGTACCTAGTAATGTGAGAGATTAGAAGGAAAACTGCCTTTTTTAGTCCAAATTTGACAGTGCTTGTGGTCAGTTTAACTGTATCCTGTTCTTAATGCTTTTCTGTTTTGTTTTAAAGACAGTAATAATGAAAAATACTTCACAAAAATGTGGTATTTGCCAGGGCAGTTTCTGCTTTTTGAGCTCTAAATTAAGGTGAAATAATTGTATATCTGCATTCTATTTTATAATCTCTTTGACAATAAGAAAGCATAAAGTGTTAGTTTAAACTTTGCTGCTATCATGGAGTAACTAAAAAGTCTATTATTCTGCAAAATAATTCCCCATTTGATTTATGGCAGCATTCTGTAATTATTTTGATCACTCTGACTTCACTAGAGTTGCATGTGAAGATAAAAAAGTCCTGTTTTTTTCCTGGGAACTGCAGTAATGTTGAACCTCATGCGTGTGCTTAGTATACAAGACCAGCGTACGCTCTGTGTTGTTGGCTAGTTACAGTTTGTGTGGGCATCAATATTTTGTGTTCACTTGAGAAGAGACAGAACTTAAGAGCAGGGATTGGGGTGAAAGGAAGCAGAGGTGTACTGCTGCTGACATCTCTCTTCATACAGCTGAAGTATGTGTGGCTTTTGTTTTTGTAACAAAGCGTGTGAGCCAGAGAGTGCATATCCAGTCCCTGTGCCTCACATTGGAATCGCTGTTGTGGTGACATCAAATGTAAACATTTCTTGACTATTTATTCTAACACATACAGATGTTTTAGAAAGGTTGATAGTGGCTGGAAGAGACAATGTGAAAAGCTTTGGATATATAGTGTCACAGCTGGAGCTGTATTGCAATAAAAGCATGTTATCAAAAAGTGATGTTATCGCTTAGAAAACTGATCAGATGTATTCCATGTGCAAATTAAAACCTGAAACCCCTAGTGTACTAACTTTTCTGCTAGTGCAGCTGCTTAGTTGGGGCTTCAGTTGGAGTCTTCTCACAGTTAATTTTTGTCCAATGTCTTCAAATGGAAAAGCTTGTAGTTTTGTTCCATTACCTTGTATAACAGTGATTTGCACACTTTGATGCTTCCCAGGGCAGAATTTGCAAGTATGTAAAACGTGTCACCTATTTTGTGTGATTTTTTAATAATGAATGCACAGATAAACTGATGTGGATTAGAAGGGTGGGTTGACTGGTTAGGGTGTGAAAGCCATAAAGGTAAACCAGTCAGTTTACGCTGCCTGCAAATATAATTCATATTCTCTTAAGCATGAATATTTGCTGCATCACATCCCAATGATGGGAGGTGGAGGAGGATAAGGTGTGCAGTATATTGGTCTGGCTTGAATATGGAAGCATGAATTTACAATACTTGTGATTTTATTTTCAAACATATTTCCTTAGACTTGTCGGGGTAGTTGTCTTTCAGTGAAGCATGAATACATCAAGGTTTTCAGTAAATCTGCAGCACAGACATCTGAGAAGCTTGCAGTGTAATTTAACTGAAAATCTAAGGATGAGCTTTCACAAATGGCTGAGCCAAACTAATGGCTTGCTGCTGCCTAAAGGGACAGCTGCTGTGTTCCTTCTGAGTCCTGCTCCTAGTTATCCAGTGTTGCCTCTTCCTTTATGCAGACTCTGGCATCATCTTGATCATTCAGATCACTATCTGTTTTAAAAAAAACCCAACACACCAACAAAACAAAACCCCCTGAACCTCCTCCCTCAAAAGAAAGCCTAATCAGTTTGCTTTCGTTTCTCTGTCGGAAAAGCAGAGTGTGAGCAGGACTTTGTGGCCAGCAGGTAGGGATCTGGGGACTGTTCTGGAAACGTTGAACTCTTTCATTGGCTCAGTAATCGCAGGGAACATAGCTATTCAGATGTGTGCCAGTTAACAAGTCCTCTTTCAAACTAATGTCATACATACTTATACTAGAGGCTTTTGTGAGAACCATGAATTTTAGTGGAATATAAGTTCTTCAAGTAAAACAGCTGAAAATACTTAACACAAATATGAAAAGTGCAGTTCAGCTAGTAGCAGTGTCCTTGTTTAAATTAGATGAAAGCAATGCAAATTTGACTTGAGACACAGAAAAGTCAGCTTTATATCTGTATTTTTTTCACCTTAACATTATTTGGGCTATTATTTAATAGTTTCCAATAGGATGTTTAAACAAGAGATGTTTAAGAAATATCTTAATAATCCTTTTTTTTCTTTTTAGAACTGAAGGAAAGTCATCATGGGAGCATTTTTAGACAAGCCAAAGATGGAGAAGCATAATGCCCAGGGGCAAGGGAATGGGCTTCGTTATGGTCTGAGTAGTATGCAAGGCTGGCGAGTTGAAATGGAGGATGCACATACGGCTGTGATTGGTTTGCCAAATGGACTTGATGGATGGTCGTTTTTTGCTGTATATGATGGGCACGCTGGATCACAGGTTGCCAAGTACTGCTGTGAGCATTTATTAGATCACATCACGAGCAACCAGGATTTTAAAGGGCCAGATGGGCCACCATCTGTGGAAAGTGTAAAGAGCGGCATCAGAACAGGTTTTCTGCAAATTGATGAACACATGAGAGTCATCTCCGAGAAGAAACATGGCGCAGACAGAAGTGGGTCAACAGCTGTGGGTGTCATGATTTCTCCCCAGCATACATACTTCATCAACTGTGGAGACTCGAGAGGTTTACTTTGTAGAAACAGGAAGGTTCACTTCTTCACACAGGATCACAAACCAAGTAATCCACTGGAGAAAGAGCGCATACAGAATGCAGGTGGTTCTGTAATGATTCAGCGTGTGAACGGCTCTCTTGCTGTTTCAAGGGCACTTGGAGACTTTGATTACAAATGTGTCCATGGGAAAGGTCCTACAGAACAGCTAGTCTCACCTGAGCCTGAAGTTTATGAAATTGAGAGATCAGAAGACGACGATCAGTTCATCATACTGGCTTGCGACGGTATCTGGGATGTTATGGGAAATGAAGAGCTGTGTGACTTTGTAAGATCCAGACTTGAAGTCACTGATGACCTTGAGAAAGTTTGCAATGAGATAGTTGACACCTGCTTGTACAAGGTAGCCAGACTTGAGAGAAGAAGTTTACTGTGTTTTCACTGTTAGAATTTTTATATAAGTTTTGATTCCAGTCTATAAGTATCCAATGGTTTATGTTAACGTGACTTTGACAGTAATTACTATGATTCCCACAAAAAATGGTGATAGAGGGGGAACGAACACACGACAGAAACTTTATGGCTTTCTGGGTGGTTTTGGTTAATGAAGAGTTTAAAATCATGTACAGATACGTTGTGATGACTGGGAAACTAGAAGCTGATGGGAATTTGTGGGGAAGCTAAGGACAATAACTGCCCTTTTCTGTTTCACAACATATTTTACAAAACTTGAACTCTTAAGATTTAATCAGGGTGGAGAATATTCTTTCCCTTCCTAATCTTCCCCTCCTTTCTTGGGCATGTGGTAGTAACATTACTGTCATAATTACACCAAGATAAATGCAGAATGAATGAACCTTGACTTCATATTTTGCAGTTTAAAATGTCGTCTTGACTATGTAAAGATCTGACTTCCTGAGTTAGTTTTCTTCTGGTTTAATTACTGTATTTCTTAGTGTTGTGTGATACAGCTCTGAAACTAGCTCAAGTAGAAGATGGGACTGTTTTGTTTAACAAATCTGTGTAATTTTGTCTACAATAACTTCTACTTTGTATTAATAAGTTGCAGGGTGGTACAGTTACAGAAGAGGTTTGAAGTATTGAGTTTCATAGCTTGACAGTTAATTTTCCAAAGGCAAGCTATAAGTCATAATGTAAAAGAGCCAGCATTTTTGATGCTAGAGAGACAAGACAACATCTCCACTCTTGCCACATGCCTAACAAGGTCGTTGTTTCCCTTTTGGAAGAATGAAATCGCTTTCCAACACTTTGGCAGATTGATAATGCGTAAATTTTTGTTTACAATTTTTGTCTGGTGATCCTGAAAACAAATACCAGGGAAGGAACAGTGGCTTGTGGATGCTGTAAGCTTTGCAGCAGCCAACTGTCAGCACCTCCCCATACGCCCATATACTCTTGTTTTAAACACTGGCTTGTTCTTGATCTTACTGACTTCAGCAGATTTAATTGGTGTAAAAAATTAAGCATATGGATGCATGTTTGTAGACCGGAGCACAGAGATGTTGAAAGTAAACTAAACAGTTACTTTTCCTAAGCAGAATGTGTTTGTATTTCAACCCATTCAAGTATTAGGGTTCTGTTTAGTTGGAGTTTTAAATGTTTCTATTTCAAAGAATGCTTTTGTAAAGGCCTGGGCCCCTTCCAGCTGGTCTCTTAACAGATTGTCTTACTTGTAACTTTTCTTGTTTTGAAAGAAAAGGGAGGAAAAACTCTAATAGCTGTGATTTTAGGTGGAAGCACTGTCTGAATTCAACACCTCCCTACTTAGTGCTTTTAAGCAGTAATGATTTTGTTTACCCAATATTCAGCTGTATTCCCGAAATTGTTGGATAGTACTTAAAACAAGATGGAACACAACTTTGTAATTACACATCGCTTATTAATAATGTCAGTTTTTAAAAGACAATGGGCTGTCTGCAGCTGGCTCCAGGTAGTCTTCAGACCATAAAAGAGGAAAGAACGAAGTGACTTAAAAGTTGTACTGAATGCACAGGCAGACTTTGGAATTCTGTAAGGGGGCAGGTGTAAATTAAGGCTATGATAATATTAGTCCATAGTAGTAAAAGTTGTATTCTAATACCATACGATTTGTGAATTTTTGTGTGTAAAATGCTTTGATGTGCATTTAGCCTGGTGTATGTATACATTCTCAAATAATTTTTTCTTTTCCACCAGGGAAGTCGAGACAACATGAGTGTGATATTGATCTGTTTTCCGAATGCACCAAAGGTATCGCCAGAGGCGGTGAAAAGAGAGGCAGAGTTGGACAAGTACCTGGAAAGCAGAGTAGAAGGTGGATCATTTAAAAAAAAATAAGTAACTTTGTTTCTAAACAGACCCCTTGGCCCCCTTCCCCTTCCAACAACTAAACTCTTAATACATACAAGCTTTTTAATAGACCTTTTCAGTGCCATTGGCCATCCAGTGTACATCTCTGAAAAAGGCACTCATACAGTCCTGCTGCATGTCCTGAAAAAATTCTGTTACGAAAGTGCAACAGCCTGTAGCCCTGAAAACTATTCAGGATGGCAGAGAAATAATTCATTTATGCTCAGTGTTCTTCATGAATGCGTTGACAGCGCTAATTTTTGACCAGGAAATCCTGGTTCCTGTTTATATAGAGTTAAATAATCAGAATATCTTGCAAAACATCTATGAAGTTGGTAATTTGAGTGCCATTTTTCTGTATAGGTATTTACAAATCAGTTAGCCATAATAATTTGTTATCCAATTATGGTAGGGTTACAGCTTGATTACTGTCATCTTTAAGGCACCTGCTAACATATTTACTTATTTGAAAGTATATCAGAAATTTGTCAAAGCTAATCTTTCAGCATTCATAATGAACAAAAGCTGGGAGCTCATCTTACTCTGATAATAGCTTCAAAATTTTTCTTTAAATTTGTATTTCAGGAGTTTTTAAACTTTAAACTGAAACCTTAAGTCTTAGGTGTTTTGGGTCACCTAACTAAAAATTATATTTGAAATCAATCTGATTTAAAATATTTCTCATTAAGACTGTATTTATAGTGCCTTTTGGTATTTAAAAACTAACACAACTTGGAGTTTGTTTCTGAAATATAAGACACACTGTATGCATTATTTGCATAGGTTAAGTCTGTTTTTGAAGTGGAGTCCTATAGACCTATATGTTACAAGTCTAGTTATGTGTATATACTCCAAGCATCTTTAATACCATACACAGCACCATACACAGAGTTCTTCACAACTACAGTATCAGTGATTAGTAACTTAGAGGAATATATTGTGCACTTTTTTCCTCCTTAACTTGCACAAAGATAATACAGTGCAGCTTCAGAAATTTCAGAGAACTTGCCTAAATGGGAATTCTGGGTTCAAACAAATTGCAATTTCAAAGCACTTACTATCTCTGTACGTGCTCCTTCAGAAAGTATCACCTTTTTCAAACGCCTCATTCCCAAGGTCTTGGCAAACTACATCTGTTCTGCCCATGAAAAAATGTCCAGGCAGACATTTCTGTGTTCTAAGAGAAGTTGGTGCACAGTAGGCAATAGTGTGAATCTTTTTGACAGCGTAGCAGGAATATCTAAGTGCATGGTAACACCGTACAAGTGTCAGATGGCTTTCTCCATTTCAAAGCAGTGAGAGTTTTGCACCAGGCATTTGAAGAGCTTACTATGTATGCCCACTCACAGAACTGGTGAAGAACAAGTCTGCTGTAAACTCACACATTAATTTACAGCATGCTAACTCTCCTAATTTGGGCAAGAATTACCTTCATATGTTAGATATTTTGTCTGAGTTCAGACAAATCCCTGACCTAGATATGAAAATACGTTCAAGTCAAGGTGCCTTCTTGAGCTGGCCCCGTTGTACCCCTAGGAATATTACAATGAGGAAAGCTGACGTTTTTGTACAGACAACTGCAGTGAATGAGGAACCTAAACACTGGAACTGCATGTGATTATGGTACATACAAGGAATTTGGCTGCTGATACTTTTGCATTTATACAAATACAAAATTTTGGGAATGAGCAAAGTGTGATACTTGCGTAGAGGCAGAAGGATTCTGTATGTAGTTATAAAGCACTTTAATACTAATTTAATGGGATGGTGTCTGAACAACTTGAGGAAATACAGTGTACTTCCCCTCAAGGATCTTTTTTTTTTTTTTTAGAGTTGTCCTAAATCTTTTGTCTATTTGTTGCACAAAGATACTATTTAAATTAATGAATATGTAGTAAACACTACTTCAGCCCAGCAGTGATTTGTATCAGCTGTATGCAGAACTTGGCCTTTTAGGTCTTACTCCTGAGGGAAGATGAGAGGCTGAACTGAAGCAGAACTTCAAGAACAGGAGTCTATTAACTTTGTTACATTTAACTTAATTCTTGTGCAATTAAATTGTTTCCTGGTGTAAATGGATAATACAGTACTGGCTAGGAAGGTAGGGCTGCTACAGCATGTGAAACTTTGAACACTACAGTAAATAATCTCACTGTTATCCTAGGATACTTTAAGAATGGCAGTGCTTAACTTTAAAAGCCTAATCTTCAGTTGAAGGAACTACAAAATGTGAAGAGTACTTTTAGAGTGATCTTACTAATTTGTAATACCAATTTCAAGTTAAAATTCATTAAAATGAAATCTTGGTGACAATACATATTATGTATTTTTATGCACTTCAGTACTCAGTGTAGTCCAACAAGCAATGAGATTTGATGCTTACTAATGTGCATTTTTTCTAGTTGTACTTTAATTCCCTCAGTCCAGAGTATATCTTTATACTGTTAGGAAGTAGTGCAAATTTTAAGACTGAATAGGGCTTAGTACAGATGGTCATCTTGAATAAGGAGAGGCGATTCAGATTTTTAAAAATGTAGGAATTTTTCCACTTACCATGCCACCTAGGACTCTCCTTTTACTAATTTTGATGTACTTGTGGTCCAGATTGGTAGCTACAATAACTAACAGTGGAAAAAGAAGCAAGTGTGGAGAAGCATCTTTGCACCATTACTTGCAATAAATCAGTGTTACTCCTAAGATATCATGTGAACTTCATGGTAGAAGTAGTCATCATTCCAAAATGCGTTGCTATTATTTGCACTAATATGTGTTATTGATGTGTTGACTCAAAAAACACTTGTCTTAAGCTTTTTTCTGTTCTCAGTTTTTTTACATAAAAACATTCCGTAATAGATAATTCTTGCAATATTTATACCTATATAGAGATAAATAATTTTAAGTTAGCTGTTATATGTTCCTTCCCATATTTTCACAAAATCAAAGCTCTGGCTTTTTCTTAAACTTTGTGTGGAATTCCCATTCAGAATATGAAATAAGCAGATATATTTTGAATCCTTTATTTTAGGCTTGTAAGTACATTTTTCCAGTACTTGATGCCATGAAAATGTGTAGATGGTTTAAAAGTAAATTAAAGGTTGGGGGGAGGGTTGTAAGATGTATTGAAAGAAGATAATTCCAATAAATTAAACACAGCTAGCAGACCGACTCCATTTGTTGTGTCTTCAGTGTTCATTCAGTCTGTATCTATAGTTTTATCAAAATATAAATGTATTCATTTAGTAGAGACTGTATGTTAAATGTACTGCAGTTACAGGTTGTGAAACTGTGTAGTATAGGTAAACTATAAATTCCTTATTTTTGTACGGCAGAACTTTAGCACTAGCACAATGTAGTATATACTAGATGTTCAAAATTGCACAATAAAGGAACTTGGCAAACCAAATCTGAGATCTTTGCTTCTTATTCAGATTTAAGAGTGTTAGATTATTTATTTACTAAATACTAGATGGTAAAATGAATTTTGGCTATAGATTTTGAGGAAATGGCAAGTTTTTGAGGTGTCTTTGGTGTGTGGTGTCATGTATTTAAAACGTAGGTTTTGAAGGAAACAGCTTAAAGCTTTGTGTTGCAGAGTTTGACACTGGTTGAGGGCTAGACAGTGTTTCCACTGTACCTTGCAAATAATTTACGCAGCCTGACTGCAAAATAGAGCTGATTATTTTTGTAAACACACACAGCCCTGAAAAACTATTACATGCACAAAAAGTAATTCACAATTGTTGTTTGTAATTTTTTAGCTAAAAAGGACTGGATTCATGTTGGTTTTAAAAGCTTCTAATGTTCCTTATTTCACTGATTAAATTATAAAATGGAAACTTGGTATGCTCTTCTGGAATTATCATTTAAGGCAAAAACTGAATGCTAGAGTATTTTTCAAAAGTGGTACTGATAAATTCCAACTACTCTTCAAGCTGTGTAAATGCTTTATTACATGAAGAATAGTGTGCGTGTATGTATGTGCATGTATATATTATATGCACACGTGTACACGTCATCGTATGTGTGCTGCAGTATTCACTTGAAGATCAACAGGGCCAAGTCTTGATAATTCATATCTTATAGTTTTTAAGCGCTTATGTTTACAGAGAAAACTGAGATGCATTTTAAACAATGTGCTTGTTCTTTAAATTTCATAAAATCCCTATTTAAAGAGCAACTCTTCAGGGGTGTTATAGTCTGAAATCTTTTGAGTTCAAATAAAGTTGTGTGCTTATGACTTGGAAAAAAAAAAACAAAACAAAACCAAAAAGCAGGCCTAAGAATAAAGTTAAAGAGTGAATTTCTTAGCAAACATGACTGTGGCTACAGTACAGATTCTCTTCACCCAGAAGTTGGAGTGGATCACCTTTTAAATAACTGCCCAATATTCACATATCCCCAAAGTGAGTTGAGGATGGAACTGTTTCTTAGATGTGATGTCCCTGGCTTTTAATTTGTATGTAATAGTTCTTAAAATTTGCATGTTACTGTAATCCAGTGAGGTACAAGTATTGGCTAATATACGTACAGCCTTGGAAGTTCTTTTTAATGTCTAACCTTTTGTTTCTTGAAAATATTATGCTTTCTATGATCTTTTCTGTTGCAGCGATAAAGCTGATGTTAGTATCTGCCTCGTGCCCAGGGTATTTTGTTGGGAAGATACTACATCTTCTACTATATCTAATGTGTAGCAGGAAAGCCATTAAAGAGGGTTTTTTCTCTGCTTTTATTAGGTAGCTGTGTGTTTCTAAAACCAGTGTGCATGTTAACAGTTAGCAATATATCTTTGTCAAATCTGTTACAGGTTCTTTTTCTTACAGAACCAAAGTTAACAATTACCATGTTGAATATGGTCTGTCGTCTTTTTTTTAAATGTATATTAACAGAAGTTAAGCTGCCTTTTTATAAAACTGAGTGTTTCAATCTTTTTAAGTTAAATTTGGACTGCACTTACAAAAAAAGTACTTCTGATTCCCAGAGATCATAAAGAAGCAGGGTGAAGGAGTCCCAGACTTAGTCCACGTGATGCGTACGTTAGCAACTGAGAGCATCCCAAACCTCCCGCCAGGGGGTGAATTGGCAAGCAAGTGAGTTCACATCAGTGTAAATGTGGTTTTTTGATTTAAATCGAAACTTAACTGTAAGGCCACTCTTAAAAGTGGGGGGGAGGGAAGAAGGGTACGGGACAAAAGGAGATGATCTGTGCTCCAATTTTCATTACTTGGTTTTTCTGAATGAAAAGGATGAGCATAAGAACAGAGTTAACTATGAATCATTACTAAAATTAAATGTCAAACTGTAGTTTTTGGAAGGACTGAAGGTTTTTTAAGGGTGGCCTGAGTGTGTCCTTTTTTTTTTTTTTTGTAATTAACTGGGTTTTCTGGGTGGGAGGTTACACTTGAAGATGCAAAAACAATGCACTGACTTTATTAGTTACTTGGATAAGCAGTTCTATGCTTTGACAAGAAGTGATACGCATATGATGTTTTGCTTGGCAGCTTCCTTTTCTTGTCCGTAGCTAAAACAATGTTGTAATAGCTTATAAGTTTACTTTTGTTGTCTCTCTGCTTGTGACAAATCTGAGAACTGGGTAGAAGTCTATCAAAAAAGAAAAGTGGGAAGTTAAATTTACAGCTTTATATAGACTGGCTTTGTCCTTAGACTTCAGTGTTGATGCTCTGTGGCTTCTCAAATTGATGTTCAGTCTATAAGGAAGCAATGAGCTTAGCTCTTTCGCACACTAAACCAAGTGCTTTTTGGTTCAAAAGATTGTTCAAGAACCTGTATTGTGTTAAAATGGATTGGGCATGTATGGTACAGACTATATTCTTACCCCTTCAGAGTATGATTTTTGTATTGTTGTACCAAAACATGAAGAGTCTAGATATGTAATTAAATAAATAACTGAACTCTAAAGATGACTTCAACAAAACAAAATTGTTCTTATACGAACTATTTGACTAGAAAGAGATGACAATTAGATATATAATAGCAGCATCTGTTTGGGATGTGTTGCTGTAGTCTTGAAGTACTGATGAGTCAGTTACTCATGAAATATGGCCTACAAGTTGATTTTTCTCAATTTCCCTTGGCTAGCAGTAGCATCATGGTTGTGAGGAAGTGCTGAGAAGTCACTGAAGTGACTGACTTCCATGTAATTTTGTGTCTTAGTGATGCTAGTTTGAATAGGGGTTGATGGAAGTATGGATGTAATTGGATGGTAGCATAGCTCAAAGCACCACTGTCAGTTTGGAAGGAAAAGTATGCTCTTCCATAAACCTGCCTTTATTTAGAATCAAAGATACCTATTTCCTGAAAGAATTCCAGTTCATATGTGCAATGTACTTCGTATGTAATTGCTTGTTTTTATTGCTTTAAATTCAGCCTCTTCTTCCGTGCCCTATAATCATTCATGAGATTCACTATGGTGCTTATACTGCCGCATGGTAGTTCCTGACTTTTCGGTCTTATGGGATGATTATAAAGCCTGTCATCTGCTTTTTTTTTCTTCTAACGCACTCTTTTGTGATTGCTCTACATGCATTTGTGAGCAGTTAAAAGGTTGTTCTTTGAAGTTTGTTTTGTATCGCAGTTGTAGTCTGCTACTTCGTCATACTTGGCTCTGCAGAAGGGGGATCTGGAAGAAAGTTGCCTTTAAAGTCCAGTCTATAATTCCTGTCCTTTACTCCCCTCTTTCCTTCCTGCTCCCCCTCCAAAGTTGTTTCCTTAAATGCTGGGTAAGGCAAAGGCTTGCTATTCCTTCAGCCTTACTTTGTCCTTTTTTTTTTGAATGTCAGTTTTCAAGAAAACCTTTTTACCCTGTGTAAAAAATAAAACAAGAAGAAACAACAAACCACCATGTTGCTTGTTTACCTGTTGCTTGCAATTTTTCTATTAATATTTTATCAATATATTTCCTATTAATATTAGAAGAGCACATAATCCCAGAGACAAAAGTTAAATTACAAGCGATCTGAAATATGCTGCGCAATATTTTTTTAGAGGAGGAAACTGTCGTGATGCTTGAATTAATTTTTAACTATTTTTTACCAGACAAAATTCTTCTTAGTCTGAAGATACGATACATAGAACTGCTACTAGCAGTTTAAATTTTTTTTAGAGAAAACTTGCATGAGAATTTTGGACATATTGTAAAAGAGTATCGCTGCGGAAGTAATTTTTCCAGGTTTGCACAAGGAAAGTACATTTCAGAATGTAACACGAACAAAAATGTACTTCAGAATGCAATTTTTGTGCATCCAGAAAAGAAAAAAACACCACCACCACTATTCCCCTATGGAAGGGCCATAATACATGAAGTATTACCGCAGTGTTCATCAGACACGCAAGTGACCAGGGCGTTCAATGTCTGTCACGTTTTCTGACGCGCTTTTTCAAAGCCAAGGGACGTATCACCAAAGAGTGGCGCAGCCTCATCTGAGTGTCAGATTGTGGTGGTCTTCTGCTGACCTGAGTGGTGGTCACCCTTGGGTTTTTTGAGCCTGAAGGTTTTAGAGGCTACGATAGCTGTGCTCAGTGTTTAATGACAATTAGTGCTAACTTGCAGTAATCTTGGTTCTGTGAATATAAAACCTTTTAAAAGTTTGTATTTTAAATTAAAATTGTACTTAGGGAATTTGACTTTAAAAAATAACAAGGCACAACCTTAAAATCTTGTGGGTTTTTCTTTTGCTCTAGACGGAGCGTGATTGAAGCCGTTTATAACAGACTGAACCCCTACAGGAATGATGATACTGTAAGTATCCTTTCTCTTACATTATCTTTCCCCGCACCCCAATTATTTTAGCTGTTTTGTAAAGAAACGTATTGCTAGAACCTTTCCCCCCAAAAAAGGAATAGCAATATTGTGCTCTTTGGAACTATGTTTTGTAATTACTTTCTGCTGCCTTCTGCTCATCATGGTCTCAAAACTGATTGATTCGTTTGTCCTTTGGAATTTCATTATTTGAATCCTGCCTGGGTTTCCAAATGCTTTCCTGCCAAATGGTGGAAAGAGTCATATTTGGGGTTTTTTCCTCTTATTGGAGACATTTTTTCCCCAAATATCAAGAAGAAAAAGGCTATACTTGTAGGTTAAACAGATTTGTGACTATCAGATTTAAGGTTATATTAATTTTCCAAAAGACTGTGTAAGCACTCTTAAGCATAGAGCATCTTACAGCAGGCGTACAGTTTAGGTTCTTATGTCAGATCAGAGTGACATGAATCCACTGTCAGTGGAGTAAAACCCCCAAATCTCTAAAACATGAACAGTGATCTCAGTTGCGGTTAGATCACTGAAAGTGCTGTGCTTCATCAAGTAAAGTTGATCCTTTAACTACCAGCTTAGACATGACACAGAAGCGAAACACATCCAGACATAAAGAAGGGTGCATTGGCTTTACAGTTGGGTGCTACACTTTATTTGGCAGTTCTCAAATCTTTAGCATAAAAATGCCTAAATACTGGCTGAAAGGATACTTTAGGTTTAAAATACATTCTATAGTATGTTACAATTCTACAAATGTGCGGTGCACAAACTTCTTTTTGTGATGATGTTGGCAACTCGGATACATGCATGCTGAATAGTTGACATGCAGCTCCTGCATTTTTACTCGCTACTGCTTTTATTATTCGTTCTTGCACTTGAAACAAACACAACCATTTTAGTCTTTCATATAATCGCTCTCCTTTGCTACTTCTGGTCTTGAAGAAAAAACCTGGAGGTGGTACTTTTGCAAAGGGTAATTTTAGTGATTTTGTTGGGTTTTTTTACTACACCTCCGTGCCAACTGTTCTTCTTTATGGTTTGTAATGAATTCTGTGTGCGAGTTTGAATGAAGGGTGCAGAACTTTAGTGCTAAGAAATTGTCATATGTGGCATTGCTAGAGACTTAATTAGCCTCTCTTCTCTCTAAGGAATCAGCAAGGTAGCGCTTTTAAAGAGGAGTAATATTTCTACCTCCTGCAGTCTTTGTAATGACAGGGAAGTGTAGCTGTGGAAGCATGAGTATAAGCTGTTGTTAAAGCCCATCATGACCCTTAATTACTTTGGGCAAGGTAGCAGGTAATGCTGAAACAACTAAAGATTGCTGTACAGAAGCAGTTTGCTCTGATGCCTGTGCTACTGACTTAGCTGTTGGCTTCAGCTACTGAGCTGTGGTCCCACTTCTTGGTGGCAACGCTAACCTATGTAGCAACTGATGAGGCAGTTAGGAAAAGCTGTATATAGAACAATCTAAGCAAGGGAAAAGGAAACAGACATGACACAAATACAAATAGATGAAAAAAACACTTGAATTAAATATTTGATTTGTACTAGCATTTTTTTAACCGATAGCAATTGGTTAAACATTTTTCAGGGGTGTGGTAGTTACACAAAATCCACTGTTGCCTCTGGGCCTGAATGGACCAAATTGTAGGGATACTTGGGTATCGGCTGCCCGGTTGTAATGCCATGTAGTGTGGCCATACGGTTATGATTTAGAGCACGGCATGGCTCTGCTTCCAATTTTTTTTCTTACATACATTTTTTTTCTCCTTGCGGTTTTATTACCATCCAAAATTAGGGTTTCCTGCAGTTGCCCAAACTACACTTCTCTAACCTTAAATTATAAGTGTTAAAATTGATCTGAATTGTAACAGGGTGTCAGCTGATGACTCTATCTTCCTGTGCAGTGAGGGAGGGCTGAAAACAAGCAAAGATGGTAATGATAATAACAAATGGCGCGAGGCACATCCTGCTCTTATAGCCCACCTGTGTAGTAAGTGTATCCTTTTTGTATTACTTCTGACTGCTTTGGGAATGCTTTTGTATAATGTTCCTAAGATACTCTTTTGAGGATTGAAAAGGATATTATAAAACACTTGGTCAGATTTTGAAATCTTGGTACCTAATGCTTCCTTAATTAAGCGTATGTGATTTTTAGTTGCTTTTAAGTGCCATTTCTGAAAGGAGAAAACAGACTCCTAAAATGATTTAAGTCTTTACCCTTTTCAGTCTGGATTATCCAGAAACTGCTGTAACTATGGGCACTCCAGACTTTAAAGGGTTCCTTCTTTTTTCTTTAAGGATTCTGCCTCAACTGATGATATGTGGTAAAACTGCTCATCTAGCTGTGGAGTTCACGTTTCATCCTTCAAATGAAAGTGCGGCCCAACCTCAGTGACCCTTCTTAACATCCATCCTCAACCTTTAATTAAAGAAGGGAATATGACGTGTTGGTGAGAGTGACTACAGCAGTACGACATCTAGCCCAGGAACTGATCTTTTTTTGTAAAACAGACTTCTGTAAACGTGATTTCAAACCATAATTCATGTTGTAAATCAGACTCCAGCAATTTATGTTGTATGATTTTGTTTTTGTAAAGTGCAATTGTCTTTGTACAAAATGCTCATATTTAATTATGAACTGCTTTAAATCACTATAAAGGTTAGAAGAAATGTTTGGCTTGTGTGATGCAACAATATATATCCCTTTAAATTCATGTTGTGGTTTTGGATTGCAAGGAGCCAGCAGCCTAGCCAGCTAGGTGCTCAAGAGGTGCACAAAACTGTAAAGATAGCTTTTTGTTTTATATGAAAGCTAAACTTGTGGACAACTTACCAGAAATTACCGTGCGTGGATTTGCTTGGCAATGGAGAAATAATTTGAGTAGTGCACATACTTCAGCAAACATGGATAGTTTTCTTGGATGCACTCCTGCTCTCACATTGAACTAAAGGGAGTCCTGATTTTGACTTCAGCGGGAGTTAAATCATGCCCTATTAATAGTATCGTGTTCATATGCGTACAGACCTTGGGATTAGAATGCCTTGATTCTTTGCACCTCTTTTTCATTAACCCTTACCTGAAACTACTAATCACTGAGCACGAACAGGCAGCTTTCTACGTACGGTAGGAGTCTGCAGCATTTTTACAATCCTGATTGGCTGGGTCTGCTGCTGTTCCAAGTAAAATACTTTGAATTCCATTTTATCAATAAAGCTTGATTTAACAAACAAGAAATTTATCCATAAATGTGTAATTCCTTTTTTCCTGCCTTTTAAAATGTCAGTGCCATTGTAAATGATATTTTACTTGTGGAAGAATATTTTTATTAATTGGTAGCCCATTTTTAAAATGGGAAGGATTTTGATTATTGCCCAAGACATAGCCATATGCTAGAGGATGATGTGGGATTAATCTGTTACCCTGTTTTTTACCAGTGTGGTTTTTTTCAGGCTTTTCGGTGTTGGATTTTTTTTCCTCCCCACTGAAGATGTGCATTGGTTTGAATTTGCCTACTGTTTGATAAAAATACACTTGTCAAAGCCTGACAATCTTTAACATTTTATGGTGTGTGTTTTTAATTGACCCACTTACTTAGAATGAGAGACTAGTGGTTAAACAGTACTTGTGATTTGAGATATAGCATGTTGACAATATTTAACTGTTCGTTGTTTAAAATTCTAATTTAAAATTTTATAAGATAATAAACTAATTTGATTTAAGCTTAGCTTTCTCCCATTGAGCATACACAAATTAAGTTTTCAAGTCAGTCGTGTTTGCAAAACTGCTGTTTTGTGCACCTTGTATTGTCTTTTTGGTTGAGAATATTGTATTTAATATGTAGTTTACTCATTTAGTAGGCAGATTCCCCAAAAGGAAAAATCAGTAAAACAAGTAGATTGTAACATTTACTGCAGTTAAACAGAATCAAAACTTGGTGTATAATTACTTTTTTGATAGGAAAATGTAGTACAATGCATTTTGCTCTATTTGT